CAACCTAGAAAAATTCTCAGCAAAAAGCCTTTCCTGGCTTTAACTGTGGAGTAGAATTTTCCATCTTTCTCCTGCTGTCAGAAACTGGTTTTAGTTAAGCACAGTAGAATGTTTTTTATTTTGATATATTAAAACTATTGCAACAACTGCAGCCAATTTAATCTCTGGCTCCATTAAAAATTTGAATGCAATATTTCAAGGAAAATATTTTACTTACCTCGAGTTTGGAACAATGACTGTACAAAAAACAACTCAGGAGGCAGATGGAACACATCCAAGCTTGAGCCACATTACGGATTTTGTCTTCCATCCCAAAAGCTCTAACTCAGAACAACTCCATTTCATTGAGAGAAACTCTGGTAGGTATTAGGTACTGTTACATGAACACGAACACTTGGTATCCAAAAAAAAGTCCTTCATATGCATCCACAAAAGAGGGGTTTTAAAATCAGTTCCTAATTTAACAATAAGTTTTCACCCATAGCATATAATTAGCATGAACTGAGTATCACAAAATCATTCATACACTGTGAGGTTGTTTTTCAACTACAGATGCAGTTTATTTCCCCATAAAATGTGCATTTACCTAAACTTGCATCACAGTACAAGACTACTTACCAGAGATTTGTATCAGTGTTCTCTTCCCACATACCCTGCCCTGCCAGGCAGCCCAAGGAAGTTCAGGAGCTGCTCCTGACCGTCTGCTGCCACTGCTCGGGGCTTCCGCAGCAACGAACGTGACCACAGACATCCGGGCTGGGCCAGCACGCTGGGAGCCCTGAACGTGGCAGCAGAACAAGGGACACTTGTGATCCTCACTGATAAGGACTGCATGCACAGGGCCACCCTGCCGTGGCTGCATTTCCCCTCAGAGCCACCTCAGAGCCGTTGGACTCGATGAGCTTTGAGGCCTTTCCCAACCTGAACGATTCTCTGACTCCATGAAACCTCACAGCAGCCAAACAACACAAACACAAAGCACACAGGCTCTGCTCATTCTCTGTACGGGTGGCGTTATTTGCATTTATTGTGACCGTCTGACAAAAAAGGTCTTTGTGGGATTTAAATGCAAAATATAATTTTTTACACAATTTCCATCTCTCCACGTACTACTTTCTCTGGGATTCAAACTTCTGAAGGATGAAGCAGCCTCGCCAGCCCACCCAAAGCACTGAGCTGTTGAATAGGGACAAGAGCTGGTTACACATGCTCTCATAATTTCCAACAGCTCTTCTCCAGAACTCTTCTCCCCTGGAATGTTCCAGGAAGCCCTTGACAATAGTTATATATCTCCAGTAGCACCAGCAAATTCTCTGGTGCCTTACTGGGAAAAGAGAAGAGTAATCGCAAGCAAATGTTCTCCAGACCAGGGGCCACTTTAATCTTCATTTACTGGGAGAAGACCTAGATCCTTTCCCAAGCAAAGAGACTATACAAGAAAAATATGAACCCCCCCACATCCTTAATTTTGTGAATGAAAAATAAATTAAAATTTCCTTTCCTCTCTAAAACCATCCATAAACAGCAGCAGGTCCGTGTAATACAGGACTCTGACTCTGGAGATCACCTCTTCTTTCTGCCGTGTCTGCAGTCACAGTAGGAGGCAAGGAAAGAAAACCACCCACACAGCCATCAAAACAAGGGAGAAGGGCAGAGCTGGGAGAGACAGAAATGTGGATATAGATCACAAAGATGAAGCAATTGGCTCCAAAGAGCATCTGGACAGCAGACATTTGATGTGGCAGTTTCCACAGCCCACAGCACCGGCAGTGGCACAGGGCAGAGCTCAGCCCACCACATCAGTGCTGGCACTTCAGTTGCACAGCCACAGCCTCCAGTTTCAGCCATGCCCCTGGAACTGCAGGGTGATGTTGGATAAACAAATTATATCAAAGTTCATACTCGAGACCAGTGCAGTTGCTGGCAACAAACGCACACTCGTAAGACCACAAAGAATTTAAGCAGCTGGTTCCCTTCCACATGAGATCAATAAAATGGGCAATCCAGCTGCTTTCAGGAAGAAAGGGATTCTGGTGCTGGGCAATCTCTTGCCCCAAAATCAAAAAAATACCAAAATCTTGTGGAGAAAATCACACACTGGATTTGTGCCATTCAGATTCTTCCCTCCTTGTATCCTTTTCTACCAAGAGCAAGAGTCTAATGACTCTTAGGCCTCTCTTCCTTTCACCTCTTGAAGGATTTGAATGGGAGGTTGCAGTGAAACCCCTCTCAAAGCCAGCACACTCCCTGTCCCTACAACGCTCCCGCACTTCCGAATGCGGCATTTGCATCTCATTTCTGTCCGTAGCCTCCACCACTGTCCCGGGCTGAGGAACACTGCTCACTTCCCCTGTCTGCCACGCAGGAGGGCTCCTGGACAGCAGCTCCACATGCGCATTCCCATGAGGGTGTCCTCTCCTCATCTTCATCATTACAATCCCTGTGCATCCCTGCCCAGCCCACAACTCACCAGCACAGCATCCACAGTGAGGAAGATTAAATGCAAGGGGCCATTTCCCAAGCAAGACTTTCAAACACATCAGGAAACTGGGGCTGGAACTATCACATTATGGAATGAAATTTAAATAGGAGGCCAGACAAGATGTCAATCATCATACTTTCCAGAAATCCCTTGAAACACACTCATAAAATGTCTTTGCTTAGACATGAGCTGCACACAGTGTTTTTTTCCTCACAGATATATCATCCTGAATATAAACATTATAGAGAACAGTGCCTTGGGGAAACATTTTATACACTGTGATGTGGCAAATTATACCATATAGCAAAGCAGGACTTGCCAATAACAGACCACAAAATTTGGGCACCCTCCAAGACTCACAGCCCCAGGGCGTGAGGTGTGAAGCAACCTCAGCCCTTTTCCATTCAGTGGGAAACACTTTCCAGTCCCACAAAATTTTCTTCAGCTTACAGAAATGGGGCAGGAAGGAGGAGATTTGATATTTATTTCTGGTTTGCTTCTACTCAGGCAAATTAGCCTTTTAAAACCCAAAATAACACAGTGCTGGGTGTCACTACAGTACAAGGAGTGAGAGCCCTGCCCAGGCTGATGTTACCCAGTTCAGTCACTTTGCTGCAAACAGCCTCGTCCCTGTTCCGTTTCTCTGTAGCAATCTTCTCTGATGTGGATTTTCCATTCCTGGAGTGAGTTATTTCAGATTCAGCACCCAGAATGGCTTCTCTGGTCCTCCAACCAAAGCCTGTCGCACCAACAGTTTTAAGAGCCACAGAAAAAACTCGTTCCCATTCCCTCCAAAGAGGTGCCTCTCTGTCTTACTTTAGGTTGAAACATCGATTAAAATTCTTATGCTGGAAAGAAAACATCACCCAGTGAGGTGCTGGGCTGGTCCTGCCAACAGAAACACCCTCAGTGTACGCAGGAATCTAAGAATGTGCAAGTCTTGCTCATTACCACAAGATCTCTTGAACTGCTCCAGCTTTAGACAGTCATGAGTGAATGTGTGTGCGTATATATATAAAAATATACACGTCATAAAACTGGCAATCATGTGCACATTACACTCAAATTCCCCAAAAAACAGACGACACCAACGCTACATTCAAATTCCACAGGCAGGGATGCACAAAGGAGCCTGAAAGGCAGCAGTTAGTCAGACTGGAGCTTTGTAACATGTACAACCCACACAAGGACCAGGCAGCACTGTAGAAGACACTAAGATAATAATTAAAAAACTTAATTTAAAACCAGAAAAACACAATTGGCATTGAGATCTGTGCTTGCACCCCTAGAGCTCAGTATCGCCAGACAGACAGAAATCAATAGGTGCCATGAAGAGGGCGCTGATAAAAATCTATAGCAACTGAAGCAGTCAACTTGAAACCTATTAACAGCTGCATTAGAAAGAAAAAGATTACTTTTCCAATCTGCTGCTTTCCTTCCAGATGATCATTCTGTATGAACCCAGCAGAAATCCCTTTGGGTCCCTTTTATGATTGAACTACTCAGGATTTCAAGACCCTCCCTGGTCAGCATGAAATAATCCTCTGCTTTTCACCACCAGCACCAGCACTGTCAGCGCTGGCATCAAGTTTACTAAAAATGACCTGGGAAGGGAGGGACAGCAGGGACACCTGAGGCACAGGCTCCTGTGCCATCTGCAGCCCGTCACCCCAAGCTTACCAATTGGTATTTGATCTGCTGAAGCCCACAGACCAGTGGCTGCACTCAAAGAAGGAGAATGCAGTGAGGGCTTATTTTTGTCTTCTGTACATCACAGTCCTCCCAAAGTTTGGGGACCTGAAGCGTGAACAGTGACAGGAAAAGGTCATCATACAGCCACAGCTCAGACTCTTTTTCTCCTTGCAGTAAAAGTCACTGATCATTAACTGCAAATAGCTGGCCTTTTCTGAGTCCCTGGCATTTTGTAGTTCTCCAGCACATCCATACCAAGTGCAACCAAATCCCCCGGATTTCAGCCTCGGAGCATCTCCCACATGGATCAAAGAGAAACCAGACGATCCTGAGGACATAGAGGTACACCTGGATTTAGGCACAAATCCCGCTATTTCTGTGTATCTCTTTATTTGCTCTTTGAAAAACACAGTCCAAGCTCTGCCTACAACACACTGGGGCCACGAGAAGCGAAATCCAGTGTTCCCAACAGGGGAAGAACCAGAGGCTACTGGGACAGCGGCCACACACGCCTGCCACAATCCGCGAGGAATAAACTCATCAAAACCAAATGACGGACGACACATTTAGAATTGAACTTCAGGAACAACAACGAAGAAAATAAAAAAATAAAAAAACCAAATAGTGGTGACTCTGCCTTCCCAGCACAGGGCGAGGGGTGCGAGATCACCGAGGAAATGCCGCTTTCCGTCGGTGGCAGCCGCAGCACCGCCCGCGCAGCGCCGGGCGCCGTGAGGGGACCGCGGCTGCCCCGGCCTCTCCCCACACTGCCCGGCCGTCCTCCGCGTCCCCCACCCGGCACAAGTTTCCCCCGGGCGCCGCTTACCGCCGTGGAGCCGGAGGAAGAGGCGATGTAGACCTTGATGACCATGCTGGGAGCGGCGGGATGCGAAGCCGGGCGGGCGGTGGGTGTGTGAGGGCGGCTCGGGCGCGGGCTGGGGCTCAGGCGGGAGGGCGGGCGCGGGGAGGCGGTGGGAGCGCTCGCCCCGCCTCGCTCCGCAGCTGCCACCGCCCGAGCCCGGAAGGGCGGAAAACGGTTTTTTT